AAAGAGAGGGCAGAGTATTAAATGATTTTGCGCAAATGCATAAAACAGTTCATGAACATACTGGAGAGACACTGTTTGTATGAAAAGCACTTTATGTACTGTAGGTCAGAGCTTCCTTAGGCCTGAGAAAAACTATAACAAGAGCAACCAGAAAGCACACAGTACATGCATTTCCAACAACTGATTATACATGGATTAAAATGGAAAAATATAAAGCTGCTGTTAAATGTTAGTCCCCACAGTTTTAAAAACTCGTCTCTCTCCAGTCCTCCATGCTCCAGTCTTCTTTGCCCGTCCAACTTCTCCTGGTCCACTGGTAACGTCATAATGCATCTCTGTTCCCAAGTTGGGGGCTGTCATAATCTAAAGGAGAAAATATAACTGCATGACTTTAAAGCTGCACCAGTAAAAATGATTCCAAATGTTAATGAAACCATTAACAGTGTTGCCAGAAGTGACAAACCAGTTAACACCCAAACCTGCAATTCCTCTCATTATACAGAGAATTTTAGCTTCATTTCAGCAGAAGCTACATTTTCTGGCATTTTCTGACAAAAATGCTGTAAAAACCCTCAGTATGCTGTCTGTCTAGCACCATACAGCTGGACAACCTTAACAACAAGCTGGTGAACACATTAGGGCATCTGGCAAATAACAAGCCAGATATTTCAATTAAAAGTTTGGTGGAGACAAAAATAGACCTGAGAGGAGATTGAATATTAATCAGAATGCCAGCATCGCTACAAATCTACTGGATGTGTGAACAATCAAAAGCAGCTATTGTTTGATGTTATCAATGAATGGATCAAATGATCATGTGCAATGTGAAAGCTTGCAGTGCTAGCTCTGTGCAGCTTTTAATTTATTTAGTTTATTCTCAATAACTGTTTTCATTTCGGATGTGACAAACCCGCTGTACTGTACACTGTACATCTGCCCAGTAACAAAACAGCAAAGTGAGTGGCTTGCCGATGAGTGTGGTAGAGCCTTTACAGTAGTTGTTAATGCTAATAGGAAAATTATTTTAAATCAATGCTAATGTTGCACTGTCTCTTCTGGATGTGTAAACAGTTTACTAACCAAGCCTTCAGGAACAGTACTGGGCTGTGAAGCAATATTGCTCAAACCATGTCACGACAACTTCCATGTTCATCATCATCAATTCTTTGGTATTCTCATATCTATTTCTTTTGTTTGCAACACAAAAAAGCCAAATCTGATACATTTCACAGAGAACTCCAAAAATGGACTAGAGTGAATTACTGACACCCTCAACTTAATATTTGGTATCACACCCTTTGGACAAAATAGCTGAAATCAGTCACTTCCTGTAGCCATCATTGAGTTTCTTCAACCTCTCTACTGGAGCTGTGGACCACTCCTCTGTTGCCAGCTGCTCCAGGTCTCTCAGATTTGAAGGGTTTCTTCTCCCATCTGCTGTTTTGAGTTCTCTCCATAGGTGATCTATGGGATTTAGATCTGGACTCACTGCTTACTTCAGAACTCTGCAGCACATTGAAACTATTTCTGGTGCTTTTTGAAGTCTGCTTTGGGTCATTGTCCTGCTGTATGACCTCTGATGGAGACCCAGCCTTCTGACACTGGGCCCTACATTGTGCCCCAGAATTCATTGATAGTCTTCAGATCTCAGAAGCCAAGTCATCAGTGCCAGAAGCAGCAGAGCATCCCAAAAAATATCAGTGAATCTCCACCGTATTTGACAGTAGGGACCATGTTCTCTTCTTTGAAGGCCTCATTTCATTTTCTGAAAACAGCAGAATGATGTGCTCGACCAAAAAGGTCTATTTGAGTCTCATCTTTCCACAGGACTTTCTCCCAGAAGGATTGTAGCTTCCTCAGGTAGGTTTTATCAAACTCCAATCTGGCTTTATGTTCCTGTGTCAGCAGTGGGGCCCCTCGGTCTCCTACCATAGCGTTTCTTGTCATTCAGATGGCGATGGATAGTGTGAGCTGACACCGTTTGACCCTTTGCCTGTAGGTCAGGCACAGGGTCAGCTTATTTGGAAGTTGATTGAGGTTCTTTATCCACCTCTGGAACAATCCTTTGTTGCAATATGTCATCTATTTCTCTCTTTCATCCACGTCCAGGAAGATTAGTTACAGAGTAAACCTCTTGACAATGTTGTGCACAGCGGACGCAGAAACCGCCAGATCTCTGGAGATGGACTTGTAGCCTTGAGATTGTCCAGGCTTTTTCACTATTGTGGTTCTCAAATCCTCAGACAGTTCGTTCCTCTTCTTTCTTTTCTCCATGCTCAGTGTGGTCCACACGACAAAGGTTGAGTCAACTTTTCTCCATTTTAACTGGTTACAAGTGTGATTTCTATATTGCCAGAACCTGTTGGCTGCTACAGGTGAGTCTCATTACAAATTAAAGGAGCATCACACGCTTGAAATACAGGTATTTCTGATCATTTTGAAAATGGGTCAATAATTCTGTCAATTTTTGGAGCTGTGTGTGAAACGTATCAGATTTGGCTTTTTCTCTGCTCTTTTGTGTCATTCCAATGCAAACAAAAGAAATAAACATGAGAATACCAAAGAATGTTATTGTAACATTTTTCTGTGAGAAAAGGAATGCCAATACTTTTGGCCATGACTATGTATGCTGTATGTATAATATTCTTCTATGCAACATAAACAAACTACTCTTTTAACTATCAAAATTTGATTCATTTGGTCCAGTAGCATTCGGAAAGACCTGTAGGATTTTGTTTGTTTATCCCATTCATGACAGAGTCAGCTGCTCCATGCTACTGCACATGCTCTATGGGTCAAACACCTGGAAATGTGCAAAACACCTGGGTGATTTTTATGCCAGCAGCAGTCTGGAAGTATACACCACATGGCAGTTTTCACAGGAATGAACTGACTGCCACCAGGTAATCTAGTATCCAGTTCTCCTTAATACCTCTGTTTATTATTAACATGTTCATCCTATCCTTTTTATGAGGCATTAATATGTCAAATGTCTTTAGCTTGTTCCACTGCCCACAAATGGCTACACAGTCAATTGATGCAGTTTTTATTTTGCCCAACTTCAAATTAGGAACAGGCTATTCACCAACAAAAGAAATAATTATTCTAACACAATCTTACACTTTTAACATTCAGATTACATTGTGTGTGTCAATTAGACAATGTGCCTGTTGTCCTGAGTATGGAGTCTTCTGCTTGACGTTTCAGCCTAACTACAATTTAACCAGATAACGGACCCTGTGACTTAGGTGTCACACACTCTATATAACTGGCTTTTATGCCATCATTTATGACATGTGGTCCCTTTTATCATTCTCAGTCACTGTAATAGAGCCCCCTGCAGGTTTTTGATATGTAGCTCTGTATTATAGCGATAATTGATAGTGGCTTTGCCGCATCATTAGTGCCCCTTGAATCCCATTGCCTCAAGGTTTTCATTGGCTCAGTGTAAAAAATGATGATGAATCATCAAACATGGCTGGCAATTATCACAATAATGGAACATGGCATCAAAAAGAAATCGCTCCAATTAAAGCAGGAGTGATAAAGAGTCCTCATTTCAAAAATTGCGAGATTGTCATCTACCAGCACACTTATCCAGGCAGTGTCAGATCCATCTGCCAGCTGCAATGAAATGCACCTGGAAAGCAGCCAAATGACATCTTCTAGTCATGTTTCAAGATCTCATTGGTCAGCCACTTCTCAAACACAAGAGCAAACATGCATTCAATATGTAGGGTATGACTCATCCATGTACAGTGCTATCAGAATGTTTACACACAGCTGAGTTTCTGTATTGCAGAAGTAACAAATTGAAGATTTTACACACGCTTTTTTGGGCTTGAATTCAGTTAACTTCATAAAGACTGACTGAATTTACTTGTAAACGCACTTACAGGAACAGAACAGACAAAAATCCTTCTGAAATCATTTTGTAGTGCGCTAAATTGTGCAAAAAAAGACTGTGCAAATGCTTCCTGTTAAATGGCTGTCATACCAAACATATTTGCAAGAAGTGAAACAGATACATACTCCTGGTCCCAGCAGGGTAGTCCAGAGATCTGTTTCTATTCTGGGGAAAACAGGGCTTTTTCACAGGGAATCTGAGATCTGAAGACCTTTCCAGATCACAGGGACTGTCCCGTTCCATGCCTGAGGGAAAACGGCATGAGACACACACACACACAGTGGGATGCAGGAACTCTAAAAGGGGCTGCAGGATAAAGCAGTAACATGGAGCACCACCAGCAGGTTCTACAGGCTTGGGAGCACATCAAATAAGAGACTCATGCTGTTTTCATTTGATACAAAATATCAAAGGCATTGCACCACTATTATGAATTATGAACAAAAACAGCAAGATGTGTTTTTGTGTCAGACATCTGTGTTTTAATAAACAGCATGAATATTGTGTATTTCACATAGAGCATACAGGTACACAACAGCAGGGGGGAAATAAACACAAAGAAACGCATACAGTACCTATGTCAAAAGAGCTGGACTTCCTGGTGCGATGTGAAGTTGCTGGAAACCCATTGTGACCTTCTTCCCCATCTGAATGGCAGAACAATCATCATCATCATGTTATTCTGTCTGTATGGTCCTACTGACATCAACAATTACACATCCTGTCTCCTAGAAGTTTGGCAGTTTGATCAAACTAGTAGAACACAGACATTAGCGTTAACAGTTACCACGCCAGTATAAAAGAGTGCAATGTGTAGAATATGAAACTATATCAATAGAAAACCTCCCAAAATTATATTGAAGTATCACTCATGCTGCTTCATTATCAGTTATCTAGTGCATCACAACTCATTGTTGCCAACGTGACTGTAAAATGACATTATTACAGTACCTTGACTGATGGCGAGATCAGCTGCTTCTGTCCCCGGCTTGTCAGACGCTGGTGGACTTTTCCTCTCAGTGGTCAACTGGTCTTGAATAACTGGCTGGGTTGGAGGCGAGATCCTCTGATCATTGGCTGGTTCTTGTCCGGGACTGACAGGTGAGGTTTTAGGAGGGGTCTTGGTGTTTTTCGGAGAGGTTTTGTCTCTCGGGAGGTCAAGACTGGGCTGAGAATGAAACATACAGTAGTATCTGGTGACGTATCAAGAGTCTGATGCTTCAAAGTTACTTTTATACATGGTGTGCAGGACACATACCTTAAAGGCAATAAGAGGACGCTGTCCCTCTGGTCCTCTTGCTCTCTGCTTCTCTTCATGCTCCTCTTCTGCTTAGATAAAGCATAGACAAGACAGTCTTTACAATGATCTACCAAAGTTTTTTTAAGTAGTAGTAAGTGATCCATTTTTTGTGCATTCTATAACTGGAAATGTAAGTCTTGGCAGGTGTTGAAATGCTTCTTAAGTACATGCTCAACTAATGAAAAGCAATGCAGTATGCCGCAAAGCAAACAATAGTACACCTTCAAATATGCGACTGGGTTGCCATAACATTTTCTGTGTTAAGTGTTACAACTTCAATAAAGTCAAGAAGCCATTTACATACTATATAAACAGCTGGCCACCTGTGTTTATATGCTGCAGTGTATAAGTACTATAGTAGCTGAGGAAGTTTTGCTCATTACAAAGTCTAGACTTGGAACTAACAATTGCCCTCTCCCTGTTGGTACAGTGCACCTTTGGGACCAAGCCCAATCAGATTTCGACCCACACTCTTACACATCATTAACCTCACAAAAGAAAAACTCACAAAATGTCCTTTTAATGATGCTGATCAAAGTTTTCAACTGTTTTTATGTTAGTTTTCAAAGTTCTTGTACACTGCCTGTGTATATTTTTAATGAATTAGCCCACATCTCTTAAAAGGTTTTATTTTTAACTATGTGTGCCTGGGATTGGATTTCCCAACCCATAGACACTTACTACCAGTTAAGGGCCCTACAGTATCAAATAATGTGCCAAAAACTACATTTTTTAACATAAGCAAAATACAAAAAAGTACAAAATTACACAAAGTCAACCAGCATTCTTCCTCATTTGTTTACATTTGTAAACATGGTATCAGAATTTCTCTGACAATGATCCTGAATGACACACAACAGAACCTATCACTAAACTTAAATTTTAAAATAAGTTTTTATCAAATCTGTCAACGGTATCCAACTCTCATTAATATAGAGTCATGACGATTTGCTCAAGATACTTCAGATAGTTATCAGAAAAAAATTCTTCAGGGGCCAGTATTTGAAATGAGTAGGAATGACTGTTTCATTTCTTGAATATGCTGTATTACTGTAAATATAAATAATGAAGTCAAGGGTCTTACTTTAGACTATACTATAGTTAATCAGTTCACAAACTGCATCGGTTTGCTGTCCATGTCACTTGCAGGTTTAATGGTCTAGGCTACAGTGATCCTGTGATGGAAAGTAAACCACAAGCAACACTACTGCAACAGATATGCAACATTTTCATTGCAATCAAAAGGAAAGAAAATGTGTTTCTATTGCCTTTTTCCTTTCCACTGCTGACAAACCTGTACATTTGACATGGTAGTAAATGGCAACTTAACCCTGCTCACCAGCGTAAAGATGACATACTCATAACCACATTACATTTATTCAGTGAACTGTACACTTAATAATAAACACTGAAAATTATGCTAATATGAGGTGTCTGTATTCTGAAAAGTGTATGCATTTGAGATGTTTTGCACTTTTTTAATTCAAATCCAGAATTCTGTTTTCAAGGTCATAATTTAAGTTAATTTAAAAAACTTCATTGGTAGGGAAATCTGTAGACTGTTTGTATTTGGGGCCTTGCACACTAAAACTCTGCTGTGAAAACTGGGCCAAAGCAATGATAGGATCATGTAAAATGACTGCAGTGGTTGTCTAGGCTGCAGTACCTGAACCCTCCTGCAGGTGTTGCTGTTTCATGACAGCCAGGCTGGGCTTGATGCTTTGTGGAGGTGGCTCTGGCCTCGTTACACAGGGGGCGCCGCTTCCACTGCCACCGCTACTCTGTCTGTCCTCCTCTGTCTCTGTCTCGGTCTGAGAGTCTGTCAGGGGTCTGATCCTTTCCTGCCTGCCTGTTCCCATCTGTCTGTCCGTCTGCTGTTTGGAGGACACCACGTGGCCGTTAGTCGGAGTATCTGCGGGGGCATCTGAGATGGTGGTCGATCTGTCAGCATCTTCATCTGTCGCTTTAATGTCACAAGTGCTGCTCCCATCTGAGTCCTCGATTTCAGCCCCAATGCAGCTATACACCATGCTGACCAGGTCTGTAGACTATACACAGACAAATTGACATAGATATGTGAGCAATCAAACCTAAAAAAAGTCAGTTATTAAACCTCACACGCCTTTATACTGTATAATAGGATACAGTGTTCTCTGGAATTTCCAGCTTGTTTTTGATGGTCTGCTGGTAACAGGTGAGAATGAATCCTATGATTAAAATTTTAAATTATTATTAATTCAATTATTCTGCAATTAAATTATCCCTCATTTTGCTGGGGATGTCCTCAAATCCCCTCAAGGATCAGAGAGGATCCATGGACTCAGCTCCCTCTGCATGTGTGTGTCTGAGTCTGAGTACATGTGCTTGGGCCTAATTTTAAATAAGGCCTTAGAGCCCTTCACACCTCAGATAAGTTACACAAATCTAATGTAGAAAAAGGCTGAAAACAGGAGGTGGTGGGCACTGCGTGCAACTATGCACTGTACCATGCAGACCATAGGAATTAGGAACAGGATGCTCACAGTCTGGATCCCCCCTTTCTGAGTTAGACTGGAAACAGACTTAATGGCACTGAAAGAATAAAACATTAGAATGTAGTTTAATCTGTTTGGTGTGACTCCTACTCCTCCAGAGAATTATAAGGAACCATGTGCTATCATGTTTTGCCTATTTGGCACTTACATACACACTTAAGGAAGCCATTATGCTTCAAAAGGTCAAAGATCACAATTAACTGCAGAGAATGTGAAGATGTCATCATGTTGTGTTGAATTTTGGGTAAATGCATGATTTTGGGGGGGATAAAGCACATTATCCATTATAAAGATATACACTATAAGTAAGTCTGTAAGTTAATTTTTAAAAAACAAATACAATCCCATACAGCTACATACAGTAGCTGATGCTTCAACTACATTCGAACATCCTCTTCAGTATTCAGTCTGAGCACAGACAGGACAGAATTTGAGTCATTTGCAGTGTTTGTGTCATCTGCTGACAGCTGCTAGCTAGTGTTAGATCTGAGATCAGGGTGCAAAGTCTGTTTTCAGTCTGTCGCTCTTGTCAACAGGATCTCTAGGTCCGCTACGAGTTACTTACAGTCAGCTAAGGTTGAATTATCACAGTCAGTAAAGGAAAATCTAAACAATTTATGCACCTTTTTAGCCACACAAAACAAGAATGTATGCAGGTAAATACAGCTCCTCCCTGCAAAATGGGGCCCCCATCCAACATTTAATGCAGCGTGACGTACCTTTGCATTCTCTATAGAGCTGCAACCCTAAAACTGTTAAGGATGGAATGTCAGCTGTAAAAATTGGAATTTGGGATGTCTGGATGCTGTGACTATCCCTAACACTGTACCTGTCTCTGGATGAGGCAGGGGGGACTGGCGGCCCTCACCCCATGCACAGGCACACCTTGCATGGGTCGAGGTGAAGGCATGGTCCCATTTGCTCCAGGAACAGCGCTCTCAGCCCTTATAGTATCCTTAGGGTGTTGAATCATCGAGTAGATGTTCTCTGAGGCGCTGCTGGAACAGAAACCACAAAATTTGATGTGTAAATTGAGTTTTGAAGGAAGAGATAAGTGATGGATGATCTAACGTGACTTACTGTACTTTGTTGTACTATTAGTATTCTATACATCATCCTTTGTTTCCATTAATTTACAGCAGCATATACTCCCTACATCACGTTAAAAACTCTGCGGTCAATGGACATATTTTGTCACAGATGCTGCACTACAGTTTTTTCCTACAGTGTATGCTACTGTAAGAAGACAAGGAATTGATTTTAGAGGGTGATCAAGTGAATCAATAACAAGCCATCTCTCACTGCTTAGCAACAAGATGCAGGTGAAACACTACAAACATAGCAAACAAAAAAAAAAAGATGTCAATCTATAGCCCTCAGATGAGTCACCTGCTGATGAGCAGTCTCTTTCAGACTGCTGTAGACTACTGGAAAACCTGACTTCTGAAAAGAGTGCGACTCTGCGCCACAGCACATTTGTTCACTGGCAGTGGCGACTACATCACCAGGTTTTAGTCTTGCAACAGTTTAAGTTCAATTAGTAGCAT